AATAGTCTACGAAAGACACATACTAGATATTGAATGTGCGTCTGGGTACACCCCCCCCCCCCCGTTAGTGGCGTATCCAGACACTGGGGTAGGGGCGAAATGTTAATGGCCTACAGAAGACACACAATATAGCTATATGGATGGGGGTACTTGGAGCAGGGGGGCGGCGTTGAGTACGCCAACTCCTTTTTTTTTTTGCTGCTTACGCCACATGCATCAGAAGAATGCCATCGTATGTAATGGAATAACCTTATCTAGACAAGAAAAGAAAATAACTCTCGACTGCGATAATGATGTATAACTCGCCCCTAGGGATATACATGTATGTGAACATATTATTATTATCGCACTATGTAAACACAATAGTTCCGAGGGTAGTACAAAAAAAATAACAGCGAATGAAAACCAGTCAGCGTACACTTCAGTTAATCCTGCATAACAATAAGTGATAGAAAATAATTAATGTCGTGTTTTGCAAACTGTGCAGAATTGTGCTTTCGGTTTTAACTGCCACCAGATATTTAAGCCAACACCACATTTGAAAAGTTTTAGTTTCTGAAAGATAAATGTGTCAATCTAGAGGTCTGTTTTATATTCCATATTGCTCGTGATGGTTCCGTAATGGTCTTGTAGCAACTAACTTTAGCTGGAAGATTAGAAGAAAACTCGCCAACCCACGACAAAATTGTCTCAGTCTAGACTGAAAGTGAAAGGGAAGTGAAGAGCTGCGCTGTCAATACAAGGTAAGTTTTTGTTGTTCATTTATAATAACATAGTACTTGGTACTTGTTTGTGTAATCCCTTTGGCAGCTCACTCAGGAAGCTATACTGGGATGGTAGGTGAGGCGAGTAACTACAAGGAGTGCCATGAATTGCAGGTATGGTGTGTGGACAAAGCACTCGTTAATTTACAGTAAAATATGCTAAGTCCAGTGCAAGTAAAACCCTAGCTAGTAAGCTGATGTGAGAATCAACATCATTCTGATGAAGGGTAGAGCAGCCTCCTTAAAGTTGGTTTAATATTCCTGTTGCATTGACTGCTGAGCCTGGCAGATGATTCCAGATCCTTATTGCTCTTGGGTAGTATGAGAACTTGAAGGAGTCAATAGTTACAACAGGAATTACATATTTCAGGTTGTGTCTTCCGAAATATAGTGAGAGAGTTGTTGCAAACTGTGTGGGAAAATGTTGGATATGCCAAGTATGAACGCTGGTATAACAATAATAATGATAGTATGGATGTTTATATTTATATAACGCCGGTATCCGCCATGTTTAGACGCATGGTGCTTTACACATATTACCCTGGTTGTAGCCGAGCTGCCAAAGTAACTAGCGCTCAAGCATATCAGGTACCCATTTACACCTGGGTGGAGAGTGGCAAATGTAGATACACGTCTTGCCAAAGGACATTGGTGCCGCGTCAGGAGTTGAACCCCGCACCTTGTTATCTGCAGTCGGGTGACTTATCCACTAGACCACAACACCTCTACAGAATTTAATGACTAAAATTCACAAATACAACACGACAGTTTTTATTCCGGTTGATATACTGATGATGACTATAGGCAATGTTTTACAATGGTAGTACATTGTGCATGGCAATGATTATAGTACACAAATGCTACCAATGCCTTCGAGAAATTGAGTTCTCTGAACAGTAGTAGGCCTGTCCTCATCAGCTCGAGATTGCCAAATATTCCGCTATTTCAACTATCCCGATCGCAAATTATCCAGTTAGTTTGCGTCTTCATCAGCCCGAAGTTGCAATTAGCGAGATATTTGGTCTGGATAATCATAGTTTGCAAAATATCCCACTATTTGTCAAAATATTCTGCTATTTGTCCGGTGCGTTTTCACCAGCCCGAAGACTCGCACTATGCGCGAACGCTGAGCAAAATATCTCGAGCTAAAAAAGGTGCGATTTGTAACTTCGGGTTATTTCCCAAATCAGAAACAGCGGGCTATTTGGCAATCTCGAGCTGATGGAAACACGCCTAGCTCACTGAGAGCAAAGTGTTAACTTAATGTCACCTCCCTGCTGAGTGTCAAGTTCGTAGGCATGAACTTTTTCATTTTGTCAGTTTTCCTTCCGATTTCTCTCCATTTTTTTTAAATTCTAACTTTCGCTTTTCTCTCTCTCTCTCTCTCTCTCTCTCGCTCTCTCTCTCTCTCTCTCTCTCTCTCTCTCTCTCTCTCTTTCTCTCTCTCTCTCTGTCTGCATGTCTCTGTCTGTCTGTTTTTGTCTCTCTCTCTATCTCTCTCTCTCTCTCACACACACACTCTCTCCCTATGCCTGTCTATATCTCTGTGTGTCTTTTTCCCTCTGTTTGTTTCTCTCTCTATTTCTCTCTCTCTCTCTTTCTCTCACTCTGTCCCCAGATCTCTGCGTGTCTCTTTCCCTCTGTCTGTCTCTCGCTCTCTCTCTCTCTCTCTCTCTCTCTTTCTCTCACTCTGTCCCCAGATCTCTGCGTGTCTCTTTCCCTCTGTCTGTCTCTCTCTCTCTCTCTATCTCTCTCTCTCTCTCTCTCTCTTCCTCTTGCTGATTTTATTTACAGTATTTAGCGCCATTGTGAACAAAGATAGCTACCATGGTAACCCTCATCCCAGCCTCCATCCTCCTTCTTCTCACTACCATCCTCCACCCAACATCGGGTTGCGATTGTGCCGGGGAACCGATCTTCTGCTACTCGGGATTTGGTAACGAAAAGTTTTTTCAGGATTCCGTTTACTAGGGGATGACGAGGGCGGACCCAGAACTTTCAGGACATGGGCAGGGGCGCGGGGGGCGAAATTTGTCCTGACATTAATTTTCTGAGTGAACATGATCACGGGAAAACTCTGCCGGTTCTCTTCATGCCCACAAACTGATGTAGAGGGGGATAAAAGGGAGGATAAGGTGGAAGAAAAAAAAATGTTATTACTGGATTGGAATTTTCCCAATTGTTTTTTCTCTAGGGAATATGACTTCAAGATTACCGTCTAGAGGTCATAAAGGGGACCTGATTTCTGTAATATAAAGATATTTTAGGCCACACGAATGCTACGAATGATAAATGCAAGATGTAAACATAATGTATCATTGACATTCGTTATATTAAACAAAAACCATGTTTAAGTGAAATACTATACACCATAGCCATAACAAAACTGCATACCATTATGTGCCCTTTGGATCCAAACGTTTAAGGGTACATGTACGCAATTAGAAAGGGGGCACATTTTGATTAAATTAAATACTCAACACCATGACCCTTACAAAAATGTATTACATAATGTGCCTTTTGGGTGGAAAACTTGGCACACGAACGCAATTAAGGTTGCTTACGTAAGGTATGCCAATTGGTGTTTTTTGTTTAAGGGGGCGCAGGCTCCCCCTCCCCTCACCGACCCCAATCCTAAATCCGCTACTGGCTTGAGTGCAACATAATTGTAATCAAATTGATTCAAAAACTCTATTTTCATATCCTTGCAGGGTTCAAAGGAACGGTTACTAATATCCGAGGCAACGTCACTACTCAAGGCAATTTGATTTACAACGTTCGGATATCCGAAGTATACCGTAACTCATCAGAGGGCATTTATGTTGACGACACAATCGAGATCAACACTAGGTCGAGCTGTGGTTTCACCGACTTGCAGGAGAATGTGACATACCTGCTTTCGGGAGGTATGTTGACATAGCGCCAAACAATATTGATATATATTTAATAAGTCAATTTAGGCCCATATTATAAACAACAAATTTGATTGACTTCGGAATAATCGCGACATTATAACCAGCTCTAATGATAATAACTTATTAAAATAAGTATATTTTTTCTTCAAAAATTATATATTATATCCTTTCAAAGGCATATATTGCGTCATACTAAAGTATTTTAGGTTCAATAATCCTACGCCCCCCCCCCCAGGGGTTTAAAGTATACCTCTATCTGTATATAATATCTTTTAATCTTGAAGTTGATACCTAAATAAGTTGAGTTTTGTGTGGAGGTCCCGCTCAATTTGTTGTGCACTAATTAGGTAGACTGAGCATAAAATGGAATTATTGATTTCATTTAGAACTTAAGAAATGGGCTTAGGCGGTGTATACGATGGCTGCACCCTGTACAATATATTTGAAAATTTATCTTTGAAAATCGAATAAAATATCTTCACTTCGGGCTTGATGTATGTTGTTTAAATCAAGCAACAGTGACATTACATTCTCTCTCTACCTTCTCCTTCTTCCCCGTCTCCTTCTCTTCCTCCTCCTCTCTCTCCTCCTCTCCCTCCTCTTTCTTTTCCTCCTTTTTCTCTTTCTCCTCCTCTGTCTCCTTCTCCTTCTCCCCCGTCTTCTCATTTCATTGTCCTTCTCTTCCTTCCCCTAATCGTCTTCTCTCTATCTTTCTTCCCCTCCTCCTACTTCTTCTCCTACTTCTTCTTTGTCTTCTTTCCCCTTCTTCTCTTTCTTCTTCTTCCTCCTTTTTCTTCCCCTTCTTCTCTCTCTTCTTCTCCTCCTCCTCCTCCTCCTCCTCCTTCTTTACTTATATAATTTCACCAGATTTCGTATTGGGAAGCTACCATCTCCATGTATGTCGATCTATCGTCGTGGCATACAATGACTACATCGGTAGCGAGTCTAGTCATGAAGACGTCGACATTCCCTGCTCGGCGAGGTCGTTGATGGCCTCCAGTGCATTAGTCGTCTTCATCGTCGCCCTTTTCAACCTTATTTTCTTCCACTGACTTCAAGATTAAGAAAAGACTCTAAATAAAGAGATTTAACCGAAGAATATCAATAAAATATCTGAGACGTTGTTGATTGAGTATATAGATTTTTCCACACGCTATGGCCTGAATTCACAAAGGAGGTTTGTCGACAAACCTAGGTTACGAACCTTGGTGTGAAACGCGTCAAAACGCGTTATATGACACACATAAACCTAGGTTTGTCGACAAACCTCTGTTGTGAATTCGGGTCTACGTGTCCAAATAGGTTGTGTATCCGGACAGTTGATTTCAAACATTAATTTGTAGAAGTTCACATGCCATATTTTATAAATCTTTTACGATTTATGTTAGACAATATTATGAAGGGGAAACATTTATGATGCATCGTTTTACTTGAGGCACAGTTTTCGTAAAAGTCTAAAGGCAAAAGTAACAGATTTATTTGTGGTGTCCGGACACACAACCCCCACGAACTTGTAAAATGTCATTGGCTTTATTGATAAATGCGAACTTTAGTCAGGGTTTTGGCCCCAACTAAGTGGATAAAGTTAGTCTACGAAAGATATGGATCTCCAATCGTTAACTATTCCTGTCGTAAAGATATTATTCTGTATCTGAATGAAAAATATAAACTTGTCTCAATAAATCGATATCTCATTTTCATTCCATGACGTTTCGTTTTGATGTAGAGTTACATGTGTTGTTGTTTACAAAATATAGAATCGTTGGTGAACTTTATGCATACAACGGTTTATCCTGGACTGTTATTACTAAGCTTTTTAAGTTAGATGTTTTCTCTTATAAAAGCTATGTGGAAAAAAGAAGAGTTAGTTTAGTCTCTTTCTCTGCATCCCCCAATTTTTATGTAAGATGAGAAACCATTCTGTTGAGCAAGGTTACAAAGATATAATGTAAAGAGTTTAGAAGATTAACCTTACTCAGATACACTGTTTACCATAAAGTTGGAATAAACGTTTTTGTTTAATCTCTTTTCATGAAGTGCCATTTGAGACCAAATGGTTTATTCTTGATAGATAAAGTTTAAATCGTCTCAGAACCTTATATTGATTGATCAATTTAAAGAGTCAGAGAGATTTATAAATAAATTTATGAGAAGATTATTATAAACTATTTCTATTAAGAATAAACGTAATAAAAAGAGATAAGAAAATTATTTTTATTAATTATTCCTATCTTAATTAAATTTTTATGTGCAAAAGTGTGAACTGAATATAATCGCCATACATGTAAACAAGCTATGTGATATGTATATACAAAGATGTGGAGTCATTAAACTTATTTAGATAGATATATTATTCAGAGTTCAAATACGTGATTTATTTGCGTCCATTTTCTACGAATTTAAGAGAGAGCGGGTTACAATCTTGTAAATCATCAAGCATACTACATGCAGGTCTAGAATGGAAAACAAACAGAGAAGAAACACATTTTTGCTCAAGAACAAAAGGGGGAAATGCACTTTGGTCTCTCTTCTTGATCTTATTTTTATGGATTTCCTTTTTGTTATCCCGTAGTACAAAACAAAAACAGGATCGTGACAGGCATAGTGATACAGCTTTCTCTTAGTAGTCTTACTTTCAGTCTGAAGACATCATATTAATTGACATTTTCGAATGAATCCTCATCTGCATGCAAAATGAAAGATAGTTAGGAAATAAGATACAATTCTAAAAATATTAATGAAATATAACTGGGTTTTAGATCCTGAGAGGGGCCATAATGCTCCCCGGTAATTTAGGCCTATTCGTAATACATTTCATTTTGCGATTGAATCACGACTATTATAAAAACGCCATTCCTATACAAAATATATTCATTCAGCGGGATGCATTCCAATTCATGTGCAAACAATGCTGATTGTGTTATTATATTTACCTTTATCAACAAGAGATATTATTGCATTTATATCTAAATGGACTTTAACCGAAAAGGCCACCGCTTTTCCATGTCCTATACCTCAGATATAGATCTAGAAGAATGATTTCATTTCGACATTATATGAGCACAAGAAAGAAGATCGTGCACATCAAAACTGTGTGAGTCATATAGGGTGGTGTTTTGCACGCCACTGTTTTAGCAGTGCCTATCCAGGTACGTATAATGCGTGTGTGTTATGTTGATGAGTATTATGCATTGCAAGCATTGGTGGCGGAGACCGCACCTCATAATTTATGGACACTCGTGTGTGCGTGTGCTAGTGAATACTGCTCCGTGAAATGTGCCTTTGAAACGCGCATTGTAAAAAGCATAATTTTGATATTATATTGGAACGTCAAATGATATTTATTTAGCTTTTCAAAGCCATATGATTATTCCAGCTCTGATTTTTCAGAATACTTCTTTTTAAGGCACTTTTTATGAAATTCAAAGTTCAGTGCTCAGTCGATGTAGGCCTACTCTGACAATGAAATTTCAACAACTAAAAAATGAATACAATAATGACGATATATCATGTACATTAGTAGACACAAATTAAAGAAGACACCAAATTGTTGCAATATCACTGCAAATTGAATGTTGTGAGGATCATTGTTAACAAGCAATTTGTGTGCTTTTCATGATCGTCCCACTTCAGATATATCATTATATAATTTTTTGTTATCTTGACGTATGATAATGATTATTATTATCAATGATGTCTAGAGAGATTAGAAATAGGCCCATCATCTTTTAAAATGTTATATTACAATTTGTAATTGGATATGAGGTGGAAGTCGTGGGAGAAAACATTCATAAATGGAACAGTAATGAAGACGATTCGTGGTATAAAAGACATTGTCTGTTATCAGTGGAAATGAGCGCATGATTAATGTGTACATCTCTCTTTTATTTTAATTAAATCTTTGAATGTTCTTCTATAAACTCTTCTCTACCGCAGAGTAACCGGCTTCATCAGCGTTGTACCAAGTAACCATGTCAACATCCATCCTCCTCGTCTCTGTTCTCCTCCTGGTGGGTGTCATCTTACACCCAGCATCGGGATGTTCCTGTGGCCCGGCGTATAAAGAAGCGCCTTTCTGCTCCCTTGATTATGGTAATAGTCATAAACCATTTTTTGTTATCATAATAAAAAGTAATATACTTACTAGGTACTTAGTTTTCATTAACAACTGTCAAAATACATTTATAATCACATAATAATAGAAATCAATTAAATCATCATCTATAAAAAAAAATAAAATAAAAAAAAATTGACCGATCATTTCAAAATTGCAAAATGCAGGTGACCACAATCTGAAGCTATAGAGCTTGAACGTCACGGCGGCCTCATTAAGTGAGATCATTTATTTTCTAACCTCTTTTTGTGAAATCATTGTGACGATATGATTTGTTCTTGATAGATAAAGATAATGCATATCAGATCTAAAGTCATAGGGATTGATCAATAAAGATCTCAGAAGATATTTGGCTTTATGGCGCGGTTACGAATTAACGTCTCTATAAAGAGCATACTAAACCCTTTATTTAATCATGTTAATTACAATATCATATTACACACTCATGCACACAAACAGGACTACATGCACACACAATGTGAACAACAACTCCACTCCCTGGGGATTATTCTTATTATTTTATACACAAATAACTGCACGTTTTTTTCCTTATAACTAATTAGAGAAATGATGATACTCATGCACTTACACTTACTAAATTAATGTTAAATAACGTAATTAATACAAGTAAAAAAATGCAATTTCTGTGCCCGAGTCTCACTCCCCATCTTAAAAACATATTTTGAGCAATTTATGTAGAGGTATTTCCATGGCAACTTAGATGAATTCTTCACAGTGACATTTTGTATCGGTAATTAAGGTTCCTCTTTTTATGTGAATTTGTGACACCCGAAAAAACAAATAATTTAAAGTCAAGTCTCCTAGGTTCTAAGTCAAACAATATAACGTCAAGTAACGACCTTCCATTGAACATGGTAAACATTTTCAAACACTTCTAATGCATAAACATTTTACTTCCACTGACACTATGAATATGACGGACAAAGAAAGAGGACAAAATGTACAGTTCCTCAGGTAGACAAAGGAACATCCCTTCACTACTATTATGTGAAAATGTGTAGAACAGGTGTGACATGCATATTTACCTGTTCTACACATTCTTACATAATAGCAGTGAAGGGATGTTCCTTTGTCTACCACAGCAATTGTTGAGGGTAGAATGAGGAACTATCTATTTTGTCCTCGTTCTTTGTCCGTCATGTTCATAGCGTGAATACTTGCTTATTAATAGGAATCAAAGGAACCGTCGTGGACATCCGAGGCAACGTCACTTTGATGGAAGATCTGATTTACAGCGTCCATGTACAAGAAGTATACCATAACACAACCGAAGGCATTCATGTCAATGAGACCTTGGATATACGAACATCGGCCACCTCATGCGGGTTCCATAACTTTCAAGAGGGCGTGGTCTATCTGATTGCAGGAGGTATGTCACAACATAGCGCCAATAGACCGGTTGACTAACATTTCAAATGTATGGTTGTTTCTTTCCTGGGATCCAAAATGACGAATTATTCCATTTTCGGTTTAACTTAATAAAATTTGGAATGGACTTTAAAAGATTATTATTATTATTATTATTAATATACTATTAGTATTAATGATGGAACTACAATACCTTGAAGCCTGCCACCATGCATTATGTGTTGATATGTCGGGTAAGCCTCCGGAAAGCTTTAAGGTTGTCAAGAACAACCTTTGTTTTAAAAGTATGCCTAAAATTTGAATATGTTAGTAAACTTATCTGTTGAGATTGATTATGTATTGTACTGTGAGAGCCTGGTTTAATTGCGTTCCTGTGGGTGGTGGGAGCAGGGGTATCGCCTTAAAAAACTGGAAAAGGGGTATCATCATCATGAAGGTTCGCGGTTCGAGTTCCGCTGCGGCAATAATGTCCTTTGGCACGATATTAATTTACGTTTGCCACTCTACACTCAGGTATTATGGGTACCCGTTAGGAAGAAATTCCATGAATGCTCGTACGCCTCATCACGGTAGACGGTGCTAACATGCTCAAGCCGGGCTAATAATAGGGACTTTTAGATTGAGAAGACGAGAACGGC